GCCCCCTGGCGGCCGCGCGCGCCTGCGACCTGGGCCTCGGCGCGGTTTGGTCCTGCGGCCTCAGCTGCAGCGCGTTGGGCCAAAGGGCAGGCGTGAGAGCCCCGGACCAGCAGTCCAGTCTTCCTCTGCCCGACCCTTATTCTGTGCTGCGGGTGTCACCGAGACCCGCGTGTCTCTGCCTCTCCTGCAGGGGGCGCGGAGGCACTGAGCTGCCCTCCAGAACCGAGATCTGGTGGCCGCAGGGCCGCGAGGCGGGCTGGACAGGGTCGCTGTGTGGGGAGCAGCGCTCGAGAGCCGCCGGGGACGCCGGCCGCAGGGTGGGGCTTGGTCAGAGGAAATAAATCCCCACGGCTGAAGTTGATCAGGGTAGACTGAGGCACAGGAGGCTCCAGGGACTCCTCAGAGGATCTGGGTTCTCTCCCCACCTGAGCTGCACGATCCAGACAGCTGTCTGGCCTACGCCAGCAAACCCCATGGTAGAGCTAGCGTACCCTGTCCCCGTGAAGTCCACTATGACAGCCGACAGCTGCCAGCCACAGCTGCTGCAGAGCACAACCCAGGCACGGAAATCGACATCTTTATTTTCATTAATTGAAATTAAAATTTAAATCAAGCCGGGCATGGTGGTGCATGACTGTAACCCCAGCACTCGGGAGGCTGAGGCAGGAGGATCCTTGCAAGTTTGAGGCCAGCCTGGGCTACAAAATGAGGTCAAGACCAGCCTGAACTGCTTAGTGATACCCTGCCTCAAAAGGACCAAAATAAAAAAAACAAATCGAAATTTTAATTAATTTACATTTAATTTAGAAATTAATTGAAATTGAACAGATGGGTCGGTTACTGAAAAACTTTTAAGTGTACTGGAACAATAAGGATGTGGTTGCTTTTGCAGCTGTAAATTTCATGAACTCTAAATACAGATCAAATATTTCTGATGAAAATCTATTTATTTATTTATTTATTTTTCTGAGACAAGGTCTCACTATGTAGTCCAGGCTGGTGTTGAACTCATGATGTAGCCCAGGCTGGCCTTGACCTGGAAGCCATCCTCCTGTCTCAGACTCCAAAGGCCTGGGATTGCAGGTGTATGCCACCACACCTGGCAAAAATATAATATATGAATTAGGCTCTAAGTGTATAATTCTCACAGGATTCGAAGACTTAGCGTGCAAAACGGAATGAAAATTTCTCTTTAACAATTTATAGTTGCAGCCGGGTATGGTGGCGCACTCCTGCGATCCCAGCAGTTGGGAGGCTGAGGCAGGAGGATCACCTGGAGTTCAATGCCAGCCTGGGCTACATAAGCAAAATTTTAGTCCGGCCTGAAATACATAGCTGGACCCTGTCTGCAAAAAATAAAAACAACAAACATTTTACAGTTGCAGTAATATTTTGGGCTTCAATAAATTAATTAAAATTAATCTTACCTGTTTTCTTTTTCTTTTTTTCCATTGTGGCTACTAGAAACAGGAAGTCCAGTCTGTGCTTGGCCTGGGCTTTCTCCCAGCCCCCCTCTGACCCTCATCTGCCCCCTGGCCCAGGCCTGCTTCTCTCACCTGCCCTCATGGGCCTCTTGGCAGCTGTTGATGTTCGGCCTGGCTGGACCACCCCCGTGGGCAGAGGCTGAGGGAGAGGTTCCCACCCCCCAGCCCAGCGGGGACGACGGGTGGCAGTGGCCTTGGGAAGGCCAGTCTGGGATTAGGGTCACTAACGGTCAGGAAGAGAAAGAGCTCATGGATCCAAGGCTGGGAGCCAGGTTTCCCGACCGAGGCTCCAGGGACTGCTTGGTCCCAAGGACGGAGCCCAGCGCCCGGTGACCGCAGCGCCCAGAGAGGCTGCCTCCCTGGTGAGGCTCGGAGTGGCCCCCGGCAGAACAGGCGGCCCTGGATTCGGGGCAGGGGCCCAGCAGGAGCTGGGGAGGCCAGGAGGGAGCCTGCCAGGTCCTCACCTCACCAAGGCTGCAGCGGGCCCTGCGGGCCCCGTGGGGTTCCCCGGCTCCCAGTCAGGCAGCCCTAAGTGTCCTGGGCCCACAGGGCTCGGGTGAGGCTCATAGCCAGGGTCCTAGTGTCCATGCTGCCTGTGCCCCATTTTTCACCGAAGCCCAAGGTCACACAGAGGAGGGGTGCCCCTGCCCCCTCACCCCAGCCACACCTCCATCCCAGTCCTCATCCCCTGACACACAAGCAAGAGCCAGCATCCGGCCCGGCTGTGTTTGCCCTGCAAACAGAGCAAAGTCCGGGCCCCCTGACCTCCGGGAGCTGGCCGCTCGGGCACTGACGGGCTACTGTCTGCGGCGAGGCCTCAGCGGCCTCCCAGAGGCTAGGCCCTTGTTCCAGCCATCTAAAGGACCCACTGACATCGCCTCAGCGCTTCGCCCCTGAAGTGTTTGGTTTGGCAACCGAGGGTCTCCTCTTGGGGACAGACACTGAGGAAAGACAGTGACACAGAGGTTTCTCTGAGACTTCTGTTAAAGCCAATTTAGCTCCTCCAAACCTGGATGGGTACACAGACAAGCACTGAATGTTACCTTTAAAAAAATGAATGCCACACACAAAAAAATCCAAAACAAAACAAAATGAATGCTAGCCAGATGTGGTGGCTCACGCCTGTAATCGTAGCACTTGGGAGGCTGAAGCAGGAGGATCCCTGTGAGTTTGAGGTCAGCCTGAGCTACTAAGTGAGTTCAAAGCCAGCCTGAACTGCATAGTGAGACCCTGTCTCAAAAAGACCAAAAGAAAAAAAAAAAACAAACTGAATGCTATATTTTAAAAATCTCCTTTTGAATACTTACTTCCAACTGGGCATGGTGGTGCACACCTGTAATCCTAGCATTCTGGGAGGCTGAGGCAGGGGGATGGTAAATTCAAGGCAGCCTGGGCAATTTAGGGACTAAGCAAGATCTTGTCTCAAAATTTAAAAAATGAAAATAAAAAGGGTAAGGGATGTAGTTCAGTGCAGAAGCTCTGGGCTCCATTTCCAGTACTGTAAAACAAAATAAAACAGTTCACTGCTGTTTTCTGATTCCAGCCAGCAGGGCCGTGGAGATTTGGCCAGACGATTCCAGAGGCTTTGGCCAAGTGCCCAGATTCCTTGGCCCCACGAGTCCCTGAGAACTTGCTATGAGAATCAGGGGGAAGGTTTTTTTCCAGCACTGGGAACCCAGAGGCTTCCCAATGAGCTACATCCTCAGCTCTTTTTGTTTTATTTTGAGACAGGGTCTCACTAGGTCACTAAATTGCCCAGGCTGGGTTTGAACTTGCCATCCTCCTGCCTCAGCCTCCAGACACCTGAGAGATTACAGTCACAGACTGCAGTGCCCAGCTATCCATTCTGTTTCTGGTAAGACTCCAGTGAGGTACCATTTGGTTTTATTAGATGTAAAGAATTTTTCATTCAAGTTGGAAGCAGGTAGACCATTGTCATGTTAGGGATTAGTACCCAAGAGCCCAGATGGTCCTGGCTGCTGGGCCCTCAATGATGGCTTGTGGGGACGACCAACCTAAGTAAGGCCTCTCACTTCCCCCAGGCCCACCCAACCCTCCTGGAAAGAGATCCACCCCCAAGAACCTCCTTTCTGGCACCCAACTCTTTGGGGTGATAGGAAGCAACACACAGGCTCTTCCTACTGTATTTACATGGCAGCCATGCTCAAGGAAGTGGGATGGTGCTCAGCTGGTTTATCAGTTTGGAGGCAGAATCCAAACCTCAGTGAACAAAGACCTTTCCTCTTCAGCTATTCCTAAGAAATAATGAAAGTAGTGAAAAAAAATACCATGAAACCCATCATTTGGCCCAGAGCCACCAAGGTCAAATGTTTATGGGGACCAGCAATCAGTAGATGTCACATGAGTGAAGGGTCACGAGGCTGGGGATGGGATGGAGTGGGACAGGGGCTCAGGAAAGGGAGGGGTGCCCCCTCCCACCCAGAAAACTAGACTTTTTAATGTAAACTCACAAGTTTCAAATATTGACAACAATCACAAAACATTTCTTAAAACTTTTAGCTAGGGCCTTAGATAAATTCCTAATGTAAAAGTCTTCTCACCCCTACTCAATAATAAAACTCCAAGCAAATGATTACAAAAAAATCGATAGAGAAATAGAAAAAAGATAGCAGCTGCAATGATATGAAGTCTCCCCACTTAAAAACAAAATCAGTAAACTTCATGAGTCAAAATTCCTTGAGTTCATCCTCGCGTAAAGGAAGCCAGCGGGGTCCCTCTACTGGGGTGACCGCCCTGAATTATTGAGACCTAACCCCAAGGGAGTCGTCGTCTTGGTCACCTTCACACTCCCCCCATGATGCCACTGAGGGACAGGACTGGGCTCCCTGTTACAGAGGAGAAACTGAGGCACGGACCAAGAAGGGTCTCCTGCAGCCCCTCAGCTGAGGTTTCCTGTTCTCCCATTGGCTGCATCCCAGAGAGGGCGTGGCACTGTTCGGTGCCAGGCATGCGCAGAGCGAGGCGCGCGGGAATGCATGGGTTTAGTTACTTCCCCTGAGAGTGCATCCTGCCGGGGACTATCAGGAAATGCCCCTGCCGTCCCAGGACTAGCTTTCTCCAGGGACAACAGGGGGGACAAGAGATGCAAAGGCGACTGCTCCTGTGAGTGCGCGATGGCCCTGCCAGCTCTGCAGGAAACACCATCCACCCTGACTCAGACACAGACGACAGGAGCCTGCAACCTCTGGGCTGTGTCTGCTGCGACCCTGAGCTCAGACCTGACGCCTAGAGCGGGTCCTGGGCTTGAATCCCAGGCGCCGAGCTTTGCTTGTGATCGGTGCAGCTCCCAGCATTTCAAAGGGCCTGGCACACACAGTCAACGATAGTATGAGAGAGAGGGGCCCTTTCCTCTGGCAGGCAGGAGTGGCTATTTCTGTCCTGTCCCACAACACAGGGGCCTCTTGGCTGTGGCCCAAGCAGCACCACACCACCTCAGCCTCTTCTGGGAGCCGAAGTCCCAGGAAGCCAGCAGCTCTGTGGGCCTCTTCCTAGAATTTCACACCGGAAGTGATTGGTTCTTCCGCACTTTCTCAAGGGTGCCACAACTGGCATTTTGCCCGAACCAAGTCTTTGCTGTCAGAGAAGTTGTCCTGAACATTGTACATAACAGGGGTGCCCCACAGTCATACTGATGCCCACTGGGCCACACACAGACACAAGTTTCCAACACTGCCCAAGAGGGGCGGCCTGGCCCCTGTGGAAAGCCACTGGCTGGCACCACCGCCCCCCACTGGGAAACAAGCCCCAGAGACCACGTGACAGAGCCAGGGTTGCACCCCAGACCCCAGGGAATGGCCCGGAGTTCTTGCCAGTTGCACTCCCGTGCATGTGCCCTGGGCACTGCACACGGTAGGATGCCACAGCTCAGCAGCTTAGAGAAACTGAGGCACAGAGAGACCAAATAACTTCACCATCCATGATCACAGGGGGGGCGATTACTAAGTGGGGATAGGGCCCACAGGACAGGTTTTCCCTGGTCCTGTTGGTGCCAGCAAGTCCTGTGGCCCGACTGGCAACTGGGAAATGTCAGCCCCCTAGCAGATGGGGTCTCTGTAGTCGTCACCAGGCGAGGTCAACATGGAGCGGGGGCCCAGTCCCTAGGTCAGAGCCCCGCCTTCATCTCGAGTCTCCCGGTTGCTCAGGGGATGGGTGGGCGGCCCGCCCCGGGCTCTGAACCCGCTGCCACAGTCTTCGCAGTCTCCGTTGGGAAAGATGGCTGTCAGGGCCAGCTCGTCCTCAGAGCCCTGTGAGGTCTCTGGAACAAGAGGAGACAGGCGCTGTCAGAAGGTCAAGTTCAAGGGTCAGGGAGCAAGGGCTGAACCGGAAGAAACAGGCTCTGCTGAGTAGCTACAAGATACAGATCGAACACCTGAAACATGGGCATAGCCTTTGACCCAGCAATTCCACTAATAGGATTTTGGCCTACAGAATAATTAGGAGTAGTGAGCAGAGCCACTGTAGTCATCTTGCTCCTAGTCTGAGGGTGGAAGCACTACTGAGGATGGCCCCCAGGGAGCAGGAAAACGCTGGGCCCTGGGGAGAGAGGATCACTGATCAGCAGACGCCAACTCAACTCCACCTCCAGACCCTCTCTTCGATGCAGTGACGGTTCCCTTACAGCACCTGCTGGTTTGAGTCAGGGCTTCTCACGTATTAGAGAGCACCCTAATGGTCCAAGTCAGTGTCCAGCAAAAGGACTAAACGAGCAAATGTGTAACAGCACTCAGCGAGGAGTCCTCAGTATAAAATTCTACAGAAGCCAGATGTGGTGGTGCACGCCTATAATCCCAGCACTCAGGAAGCAGGGGCAGGAGGATTGTTGTGAGTTCAAGGTCAGCCTGGGCAACATAGTGAGTTCAAGTCCAGCCTGAACCACACAGCAAGACCCTGAGTCAAAAAAGACCAAAAAAAATCTACAGAGCCACTCATGATCTGACCATCTGAGGTGGGGCTGAGGCAGTGATGCTAGCACTGGGGAGTAGCTGCAGATACAAATCAACACCAGCAGAGGAGGTCTGACTGCACAGACCAGAACAAAATCACTTGCTTGCGGACTCATAATGAAGCCCTATCAGCGAGTGGCAGTGACAAGCTGCATCTGGTGGCAGGCTTTCAGTCAGAATCTGACACTTATTTTAGTCCATGCGTGGGCCCTCCATTGTTTATTTACCACTTTCTTCTTCTTCTTCTTCTTCTTCTTCTTCCTCCCCCTCCTCCTCCTCCTCCTCCTCCTCTTCTTCTTCTTCTTCTCCTTCTTCTTCTTCTTCTTCTTCTTCTTCTTCTTCTTCTTCTTCTTCTCCTTCTTCTTCTTCTCCTTCTTCTTCTTCTTCTTCTTCTTCTTCTTCTTCTTCTTCTTCTTCTTCTTCTTCTTCTTCTTCTTCTTCTTCTTCTTCTCCTTCT